TTTTTTTTTTTTTTTTGTCCCATCTCATCTCATCTCATTGTGTAGATCTACATACATAAAGACATCATCCATTTACTACTTACTATTTATAGTTCTTTTTTATTTATATCATGAGATAGGTCTTTAAAGTACTGTATTGAGATTTTAGTTTTGAATATTGATATATCATTGCCAGATTATTTATTTTGAATGATTTTTATCTGGTAAAATTGTTTCCTGTCACATTTATACCAAATAAAATATCAAATATAAAACTGTATCATGTTAATTGTACTGCTATATTTTAACCATCAATTTTTTCCATAAAGTGGTAAAACTGTTCTTCAGGGCGTGCTAGAATTTGTCTGGACTGAAAAAGTGACTCTTTGAAGAAGTCAAGACTGAGGCTAATATATTTTTCATTTATTTAGTTTGCATTTTGTTCAATAATTTACCATTTCAATCCCATTGTGTTCCAGAATTAACATTTGGATTGAATGTACAAAGTTGAAAAAGAGTCTCCAAGATATGTCAATGTTAACATGGACTGATGGCATTTTTATTATTTACAACTGTGATGAATCAATATGCAGTCATGAACAGGCTCATAGAAAGACAATGAGGGTTTACAATATTCTCCTGAGAAGTTCAATAAAAAATACTTGCTAATGTATTGATTGCAAGTAATGAATGGACATATTACTTATCACAATCCTACAAAGGAAGAAAAAAAAAACCCAAGAATTTCAAAATGCACATGGTATTTGAATATGTAGAGTTGGTTAATCTGTCTGTCATTTTGTCCTCCGTACATGTGACCAATAATTCATTCTCTTACAAGTGGAGCAATTTTTAGAATGTGAGAACTATGAGACATCTAAGTATGAAGTTACACAATTTAAAAAATGTGACAGAACATGGAAATGCCCCCAACACCATTTCAATATATTTTAAGTATCAGTACAACATAAGAGAAGGATTACGTATTGGATGCCTTTTTGGAAAAAAAATAATTAATTAGACTTATTAAGCAAACAATCACTTTCAATCTACAATGGTGAAACAAGTGGATGTGACATAATTTTACTCATAATTTTTTCCACCAAAAGTTTTCAGATAATCATTATTACAAGTCTTCAAATGGTGCACAATAACATTCATGTCTCCCATAAAAAACTTTCTGACAAGAAAACCTCTCTTGGACTATTCAAATCGCCACTTACCCGAAAACCAACCATATATTCTTACTGAAGAAGTAATAGATTCACTGATTTTCAAATTTTATGCATAATTGTTGTAGAAATAACAAAACCATATCAGAAATGTTAAAAAAAAGATGAATATGAGAAATCTGCCACATATTTATCCCTAAGTGATTTAATCTATAAAAGGTGCTTCTGTGATCATCCAGACACATTTATCATAAATGGTCACTGTTGGTCAATCTTTTCAAAGATTCTGAGTGGGCAGAAAAGAAGTATCCAGGCATGTGTAAACCATATCACAACATGTTCCTGTGCTATGGAGAAAGAATAGTGGCTCGTCTTTACCAGGGGGAGTGCTAGCTGAAGAAGTATTCCGACTTCTTTACTTTCTCTAAGGCAAAATTACCTGGAACACAAACAACACAAAAGAATGATATTAGAGATAACAAAAACGTAAGATGCTTCAATACCAAAGATTGAAATGGTTTTCAAAAAAATTTTTTTTTCACTTTAACATGACTCCATTTGCTATTTGTGGGCTATTTTGTGTTAAAGTTGGAAGTATATTGCAAATAAAAAATATAATTAAATAAAAGGCAGATTATGCCTGTGATACTTGTATTCCTATCAGAAAGAAAACTGGGGGTTGGGCAATGCCCTGTAAAACCACATCTGGGTTAAATTTTATTCAACAGTGCTTACTACACTTGTCTTTACCTTTTTTTGGCACTCTCCTGAGAATTCCGTTTAAATGTGCAATTGAAGGATTTTTAGATGCTTCTCTAAAAGAAAATGAAGTTAAATGTGAGTTATAATCACTGCAAAATTAAAGACATGCATGCATGTCTCAAGTAACAATTTCAAAACTAAAAAATCAATTCCCCTTTTTCAGTTTTACTGATCATGTAGTTTTGTAAAAAAAATTAATAAACTACTAAAGAAATTTGTACAAACTTCCTTATCACTAACTTTTCTCCTCAAACTTATTTACAAATAAAAACAATTCAAAATATCCACTTCAACAGTTTTCAATTTCAAGACCTTTCCTTTTCGCATTTCCCGGACTATGATACCTTTCATACCTTTCACTAAATCCATATTTTTCACAAAGCTCCTCTGATAGCTGACTCAAAATTGGTTGGTTGTGGAGAGCGATGAACTGCTCTCGACATATTTTGTTCATTATTTCCACATCGCAAGGGTGTGTCCAGAAACAGTCATGTACTGACACAAAAGTGATTCCTGCTCTGTAAAGGTGGAAAAAAAAGATTGGAATTTTTCTTACTTCTCTGTTTTGTTTGAATTGCACTGCAATGAAACGTTACTGCTTGGACTTAGATGTCTTTTCTCCCATGCAAAATGACACAGTAACATATGTATAATATGCAAGAATGACAAAAAAGATTAAAGAGACATTAGAGAACAACCATATCAAAGTCTTGACTTCTTTTCTTTTCTTTTTAACAATTTTTCAAATGTTTTTTTAAAATAAAATTCCCAAGCTAAGTTTCAAGCTTTCCCCAAGTTGTATCTGTTCTTGCCACGAGAGGGCACTGCAACCCAGACAGGCCAAAACCAGTACTTACTCTAAACAGTACAGGGAAGTCAACATCATATGAGTGGCATCTAATGAATGAACAAAGTTTGGTGGAAAGGCATTCTTCTGTTTCACAGCATTGGGTTTAATTAGTTTCACAGATTTTTTGCTGCCATCCTTAATATTGTATTTTGTTGTTTTATAATAAGGCTGGATGACGGGAAAACCTAGGGGAGTGGTCCACTCCATTGGCTTTAAGCACACTTTAGACACAGCTACAGAAGTCTGTATAAACCAGTCCTACAAAAGTAAATTTAAAAAATTGAAATTGAAAATGAACTTCCGATACAGGAAACACCATGTCAATGGCTAAAAAAGACTGCACAATTTACTTCAAAATGACTACAATTTTTACTTTTTCAAACAGAGGAAATTACCAATGAAATGACATGGAAAACAACAACTATAAATTCACTTTATCACTGCTTTTTTCTTGAGAAAAGTAAACTATCTTATAATTCATATCCAGCAACTACCTGGATTCTTCTGGCTGATTTGAACATATTGCGAATGGCTTTGAATGTCTTTTCTGCCAGATACTTTGCAGCCTCTTTATCATGTTTGTGAGGGAAACCCTCAAGTTCTGTCAATTGACGGAGAATCTGCAGCTTGGCTCCATAAGGCGTTACTCCATACACAGTGGTCATCACAGTTTGCTTGATCACCTAAAATAGCATATATTCAGATCAATAACAGCATTTACGTCTCCTTGATCTAAACCTACTTAAATAATATGACATACCTATTAAAAGAATAGAACAAACTCCAGTATGATGTTCGAAGCAAGAGTTCAATGAGAACTTTGAAATTTGCGAAGTGCAGTTCATTGTGAAAAGTAGGTTAAAATGTCAAATTCAAGGTCACAGGAAGACTGTCAATATATGAGTTTATATTCAAGTTCAGTAGTAACTATGGCATATCTCTGCCCAAAATTTACATAGATCGAGTTGAGATTATATGTGACCTACATACAAGAGATGGGTACACAGGCTCTTGTAGTCTAGGATAAGCAGTAACTGTGACATGACAACAGAACCGACAGATGATACCGGTCGGGACTAAAACCATGTGTACCACCAGTGTCACGCTAGGAGTACAATTAAAATGGAGTATGCAAGATATTTGAAATATGTGAATAAATACTACATGTTCAGTCACCTTTGACAAAATTTCTGAAAATGGAAGTCAATCTGAATCTCCAGAAGTATCAGGAAGAGTTTCATGACCTGTTTTTTCTTACCTTCCTACTAACAAATCCCTCTAAAACTTTTGCTATTTCATTGCCTTTTGCAGCATCAGCCTGTCTTTCTTTTTCCACCTTTGTAAAAAGTAGCAGGAAGAAGAAAAGTCATTAAAACAGACAAGTGGGCCATGTAAGATATTGCACAGATAAGTGAGAAACTGAAATGATTTTCAGTAAGTCAATTCCCATTGTTTTTGTTAGTAAACACGTGTACTAGCTGCTCCTTAACCCAATTATTCAAAATCCATAGACAGCAGATGACATTAAATATCAAGAAGATGAGTCAAGATGTCATAGTACAGCAAGATCTCTTTACAACTGGCTATATATCACTGTAAAGGTCACCAACCAATTTGCATAGTTACAACAGCATTTAATATAGTCCTTACAGAAAACACAGCTACAGAAGATAAAGACACTGATTTCACTGTCACTTACCAACTCGGTTACGTCACTATAAACATCACAAGGTACAGGCGAAGGGGCGAGGTTGACAGACTTAGCACCAGCTTGGTCCCGACCCAAAGCTGCATAGTGCTGCAGACCATTACACGTGCCATCCTGTGAATAAATTTTGGCAAACATCAAAATCTTTTTTTCCCCACATGCTCACTTACAATTATTATGGTAATAATTTATTGAAAGATTTCAGATTTGCACATGCAGATATAACTCAACTGTCCACACCAAGTGTACCATGAAAATCCAACTCTCCAGTCAAAATTTCATAATAAAATTTTTACACCCCCCCCCCCCCCACACCACACACACACACACACACACACACACACACGGAAGTTTTTTAAACCATGCCAGTTCTGAACAGTGAAAAGGGGGACTATGGAGCCCTGCATG